TTTTGGTAACTGGTGAAGAAGAGAGGCAAGAAAGCAAAAAGGAATAAATAAAAACAAGAACAGAACAGCAATAACAAGAAAAGCTAGAAACCATGTTCACACTCATAAAATAAGAGCAATCAAGAAAAGCAAAGCAGAGAGAAAAAAGAAAAATTTTTATTTAATTTAAATAATTAATTAATGTATTTAAATTTTTACATGTACACTTCAAAATATGTCCCTGTTGTCACTGGTAGACAATGTGGGCACACAGGGTCCAGATCCAAATTGATTAATCCCATCAAGACAGCTGTAACTTTATGACATCTTAGTGGATAATCCCGGCGAGTCTGCATCTTATTTCCATTCTAGTTTGGTCTGGTTTCTGGCCATGGGGCTGGCACCAGACCTGTTCAGCCTGCAGCAGTTAGTGTGCTTCTCCAAACTCCATCTTGGCTCCTTCCCTCTTTCTGACATGAACTCATCAGCCTGATCCTGTCACTGGGATCCACTAGATGGAGCCAGTCCATAAGTCCTATGATTTCAGAGCTCAGGTGGCCCTTCTGCAATATGGATAGAAGTGTGCTGGGTCTGAAGTTAATAAGGCTTCTCTTTTTTTTTTTTTTTCATTAATATTAACTTGGTATTTCTTTCTGTGGCCCTTTTCTTCCATCTATTATGTCTTTATTTTTAAGTGGTTTTTTTTTTTTTTTTCAATTGCATTAATTTCTGCTTTAATATTTATGATTTTTTTCCATTTTGGAACCATATGCAAGTGAGAATGTTTTCTTTAAAAAGAACAACAAAACCAGTCTGAGTCTTTGTCTTATAATTGTCATTTTAGACAGTAACATTTAAATTGATCATGATTAGTAAGTCTACTCTATGTAAAATTACATTCTATACATAACTCTTATCATTTATGTTCCACTTTCTTTTGCCTATTTGGGCATAAGTGAATATTTTCTATGACTTTTTTTTATCATCTCAGCATTTTCACTACATTTCTTCAAAAATTATTCTAAAATTATGCTAGAATTAACAACATACATTTACAATTAAATTAAAAATCTACTTTCAATTAGCAGTATACTTTTTCATGAATCCTACAGTTACCACTGTAACAGAGAGTACTTCGAATTCCTTACAATATATTGCATGTTGTTTGAGTATTTCCAACACCAACAAATGCTGCATGCTTGAGGTGATAGATCAGTTGTAGTGGTATTAGCATTACACATTATACATGCATCAAAATGTCATGCTGCGTGTTATGAATATACATAATTTCATTATGTGTCATTAAAAGTATTTCAACAGTCCCACTGGTAACAAGTTTCCTCAGTCTGTGCTTCAGTCATTATGACCTCACCTCAATGAACGTGTGCCCTCACAAGCTCTTCTCATGTGGACACCTGTCATGTTAGACAAATCCCACTCTAATGTCCTTATGTTAATTTTCTCTTGAAATACTTCATCTCAAAGCATCGTGAGATTTTGAGTCATTGGGTTAGAATTTTCCCATATGAAAATTGTGTGGACACAAGGTATTTATTTGCTGAATTGAGGGGCCTGCCCCTTAGCTCAGTTGTTTAAGTGGCTGCTTCAACAAAGCAGTCAGCCTCAGGTTGCTGTGGTTTGATCCCCACAACTCCAGCCAGCCAAACATGCCCTGAAGGCATTCGGAGCCAGCTCCCCAAAAAAATCCTTCTGCCATTAAAAAAAAAAATCCTTATTTTCTGAATTAAAGTATTGAACACTATTTCTGAGCATATGCTAAGATGGTGTCTATAGAGAAATGATTGATACAAGGTATTTATGAAATAAAAATATTTGTTCAGCTCATGGGGCTTCTTGTGTGTTTATGTTTTTATGTTGGTGTTGAGAAATGAACGGTCAATCTTGCCCTTACCAGGCAAGTGCTGTGTGGCAGAAGTGAATTCCAGGCTCACAGGTTTGCAGGCTGAAAATTCAAATGGTACAGAATAAGTTCTTGTGTTAGAAGGAGGATGAGAAAAGAAAGGGTTGCATTACCAGCCAGGTGTCATAAAGAGCTGGATGGGGTGAAGCTTGGTCTGCTTACAATAATCCTCTCCTCTCCACTCAAGAGTTTTAACATATACTACCTACAATTAATTTAGAATATCTCAGCTAAGTCAAAATAAATAAAAAATTTCATGAGGTGGATGGAGAAAAAAAATGTTATGGGTGCTAACAACAATACTTTTTAAGGACATCAATAGAGCCACTGGTTCATACTGATAAATTAAATATTAAAATATCAAGGTAATTGTAATAGAACAAATAAAAATGGAAAAGGTAGCAAGCAGTGGGCACCAGAGAATGCTATTCAGGGAAGTTTTGACCTTGCATACATTTATTTCTTTGTCATTTGAAGTGAAAGCCTGCATATGGTTGTCTTACTGCTATAATAAAGAAGCTACTAAAAATATAAAGAGTCAAGCCTATGGTGAGCCTGGAATGACTCAGTGAGTGTGTGATATCCTCTTTAGCTGTGAGGCTCCCTGTGCAGGCCCACGTTGCTTGATGGTGCTGCATAGGTTTTCAGCTGGCAATTAATGGACAGAACAGTGATTCCTAAAAGGACATGGTAGGATGGCAGAGGATGATGGGTGAGTGACAATAAGGGAGGCCTCATCCCAGATGGCTTTGGTGTCTGACTTATTCTTAGTCCCTGTACAGGAAGTCACAAAGCCTGTCTAGAATCTTCATATATACCTCTTGCTCTCCAGGTTTTATGCCAGCTCCTGAAATCGTCTCCTGATTGAGAGCAAGTTTATTGTGCAACCACTTGATCTGAGAAAGGCTCCTCTTCTAAGCAGTCATCTCTCCAACACTGGACAGAAGAATGACAGAAAGGTAAAGGTGTATGAAGACAGTTAGGGTTCCAGCTTAATTATTTACTCTGAGTCCACACACAGGGGTTTTCACCTTGTGGTTGTACACACAAGAGGACATGGTGTTTCCTCCAGGAAAAGCCAGCAGACAGACAGAAGCTTCTTTTCACAAAATGAGGCAGGCAGACCCCACTGTGGGAGTTTGAAATAGGATCAAATAGACCTCTTTCATCCCTTTTGGGCCATCCTGCCATATTCTTGCCTTTAGCCTACCTATTCAAATCTTTGTCATGGGACATTAATGCCTCTTGTGTTTATGTAAAAATGCAAGGTAATACCACAGTATTGTTGTCCATAACTAAACTGCCAGTTACACAACTTGCACTGTCTTACTACCTCATCAAAGTCATTCTCCTTTGCATTCTCAGAAGTCGGGAAGAAATCATTGGTCGAACAAGAATAACAGAGGAGTGTTGTTTCAGCATACTGTTTACAAAGATGACAAAAAAAGTAATGAACACTTAGTTGTGCACCCTTAATCAATAACAGTGATGTATTATTACAAGCTCTAAATTAAAAAAAAGATAAAGGAAATATCATTCCCAAGAGAGAATGTAGCAATATATGAAGTTGGAGCCACAGGAGAGGGTAACAGAGTGGGAATAAACACTGCCATTTCCAAAACGAGTGGCACATAAAACTAAATAAACAAACAAACTAAAAAGGGATAAAAATGAAGGACCAATGGCCTGGGACATAATTCAGTAAAATAATTGCTTCCATGACAAGTGCAAGGGTCTGAGTTCAATCCCCAGTTTCACCCAAAAAAAAAAAAAAAAAAAAGAAAGACCATTTGTATCTGTATATTCAAAATAGTTGGGATATACATACAGCTACTTTCTCTTAATTAAAAGAATAGAAAGTGTTGTTCTTATAGTGTTCGTGGACAGGACATCATGTCTGCATCTTGTACTATGAATAACTACTAAGAAGACAACAATATTCAATATATTAATTATTGAAACTGTCCTACTAATCAGTTTTGAAAGTGTCTATTATTTGTTTGTCAATAAAATTATTTTTAAAATGTTAATAAAAATTAGTGGCACAAGAACAATGATAGAAAAATAATAAAATCATTTTCTTCTTGCCCATAAGACTCCTAGTGTCTCTCAGTGACTCAGTTCCACCAGGAACATTAAAAAAAATCTCACTGAGTGATGGTCTTGGGAAGTAGACTCCTAGGATGCCAAATAGGTTAGAAAAAGAACAGAATAAGAACCCTCACAGCTGTGGAACACTTTTTCCCATATCTTTGCATATTTTCACTTGTGGGTATTTTATCTAAATATCAGCAAAATGGAGAATCTTTGCTAATTTCATCTCCATTGGAATTTGTGTTCCTATTTGTGGCTTTTTCTTTTACTCTCAATTTGTTGAGCATTCACCTCTTTGACCCAAAATGCCTTGGCAATGGATATAAGTTAAAGAAGATAAACGCTTTCAATTTAATAAAGCATGCTTTATTTTTAGCTACTCAAAATAATGACTTATTCATGAAATGTTTTAGAACTTTTCTAGAGGCTCCATGGCAGCAGACTCAAAGGGTCCTCCAATTGTTGCTCCCCAAACCCTAGAGATACACCATCACCCTTTGGTCCCACATACTCCCTAATGCATCAGATTCCCAGCCTGAGGGAAGAAGAAAATTTAAAAAAAACCCTATTCCTTGTCATCCTCAAACTCTTCCAGACAGAAGTGATATTCCTCACAAAACCCTAAGGTGAAGTCATGGTTACTTTTTTCTCCTTATGTGTTCCTGCAATTGAGAAAATAATGTTCTGGTCCAGAGAAGAATAGTACTAGGTCATAGCTGTAGCCTTCTGATTGGAGGTGTTCCTCAGATTGCTCTTGTATATGTTAAAAAACTTGTGTTTGGAAGAGAAAGATCAGTTTGTACAGTCTATAAATGCTAGGTTTATCTCTAGCACTCTAATCCAGGACCACCATATCTGGATAGACCACTTAGTCATTTAATCCTTTCTTTTTAAAAATAGGAACAATAGTTCTCACCTAGCAGGGTGGTTTTGAGAATAAGTTACTGTACAGCATGTTCTCAAAATTGTTTGTATTCTCAGGTACACCAGTGAGCGGTTTGTCAGCATGGACCCAACCACGACACCAGAGGAGATGGAACTCCCAATAGATATGGGAAGTGGTACATCCTCCTTTCTGCATTGTTATGAGACTTTGATCCCAGATCTGCTGATTGTAATCATTGCTCTGGTGGGGATGGCAGGAAATGGAGTTGTTATCCATCTCCAGGGATGTTGGATGCGCAGGAACACCATCTCAGTCTACATCCTCAACCTGGCTGCATCGGACTTCCTCCTCCTCTGTTGCTATTTTATTGGCTCCCTGCTTGTCCTGTGCTTGGGTCGCACTTATATATATAATCCTGCTATCTATGCCAATATAGCAATTATTCCATACATTACAGGTCTGAGCATCCTCAGTGCCATTAGCATAGAGCGCTGCCTCTGTGTCCTATGGCCCATCTGGTATCGCAGCCACCGTCCAAGATACACGTCAGCTGTTGTGTGTACCCTATTTTGGACCTTATCCCTGTTTCTTGGCATCCTAGACTGGTACCACTCTGATTTTCTAGATGAGGTTTCTGGAAAATCTGTTGGCTGGAAAAATGTTGATTTTATCATAATTGCATGGCTGACGTTTTTATTTCTAACTCTGTCCATGTCCAGCCTAGCCCTGGCAGTCAAAGTCCTCCATCGTGGTTCCCAACGGAAGCCACTAACCAGGCTGTATTTGACCATTCTAGTCACGGTCCTGGTCTTCCTCATCTGTGGCCTGCCCTTTGGAATTTACTGGTTCCTGTTATTCTGGCTTCCAGTTCCTGCTCATCACTTCCTTTGTCATCCTTATTCAGTCCCAATTGTCCTGTCCTGTATTAACAGCTGTGCCAACCCCATCATTTACTTCTTAATTGGCTCCTTTAGGCAGCAGCATAAGACTCTCAAGCTGGCCCTTCAGAGGGCTCTGCAGGATTCCTCTTAGAAGAATGAAGGTGGAGAAAAACGTATTCAGGAAACCTTGGGGGTTGGACAGTGGAGTGTCTTAGGGGTGAAGAGCTCACTTTTATTAGATGGATGTGGTTTTGAGAGTCAATGCTACGGTGTTTACTCTTCTGTTAGACTCATGCATTGGAAATGCTTGGGTGATTTTGTGATGCTTTCAAATAGATAGTTTTACATGGATTTTCTTTTTAAAATATATTTAGTACAAGTCTACAGGGTCTCACTATGACTTAACAATTGGTATGTATTCTATCTGTCTGTCTGTGGTATAGACGGTTATTCTTGGGGTTCTGTTGAACAAAACAATTTGATGTTATACAAAGCACAAAAGAAAAATTAAAGAACTTCAAGTATATGAATTGGGTATATGTCTTCTGCTCTATTTCATTTTTATTCACTTCTATTTTTGTACCAGTACCATGCTGATTTCTTTTTTTTTCCCCAAGGTCATCCAGCGTGCTGGTTAGTATTTATTGAGACCCCAGAGGCGAAGTAACCTGAACATGGATTTTTTTGGCCAGTAACAGTAGAAATGCCAGCTTGGCACCTGGCCTTGATGAACTGCAATCTCACATCTTGTTCCCCATGGGTTGTTCCTTCTGAGCAGAAGTGATTCACCATGACTCAGTGGCTTTCTTTCAGTTCAGCCTTCTCTCCTTCCGTGTCAGCCCTGCAGGAGCTCATCCATTCTCAACCCTTGGCAACTGTCACTGCCACTGTTCTCCCTCCATCCCAGGTCTCCTGTGAACTGCTAGTCTTGGCCAGAAAGTTCCTCTCTGTAGAACATCTCCCTCCTGCCCTTTCTCTGCCCTCAAGGCTTAGTTCAGCTGCGATTTCCTTCAGAGAGTCTCATTTGATGGCAAAACTCCCTGCACCACATGGCATCCCTCTTCATCCGTGTGTCCTGCTGTGCGGATGACCTCCACCTATCAGTCCATTAATACACGATGATCCTTGCTATATCTCTCTCCTCCATGAGGCCAGAGGCTCCTGGACACCAGAGCTGTGGCTTAGCCTGTTTGCACCTGCATGTCTCTTTTCTTTTCTTTTCTTTTCTTTTCTTTTCTTTTCTTTTCTTTTCTTTTCTTTTCTTTTCTTTTCTTTTCTTTTCTTTTCTTTTCTTTTCT